TTTTTTGTTTTTTTGTTTTTTTGTTTTTTTTGTTAATGAGATATATATATCTCAATGCATGCTTTTCTATTGCCGGAGCAATAATAGAAAAGAAGTTGGTTATGCCATGCGCATCAAATAATATAATAAATACAATGATGATAAATTATTTTTCAAACGTTGCATATTTTATCTCAATATTCTATCATCAAATATATGAACAAGAAGCTTGTTATTCGATGATGAAAATGATAAGTAAAAGAAGTGACGCTTTTTAATGGGTTAATCAGTCAAGAACAGTCTTCTAGAGGAATGTAAATAATAATAAGGCACACGCACATGACATGCAGTCGCAGAAGATGGTCATAAATTGGCACGGCACGGTACAGTGTATGAAAACAAAGCGAAGTATTTGTATGACATGCGTGACGTGACGTGACGTGACCGGTGACCGTGACGTAACTTTTTCCGAGCATTCTCATTGGCCGAGCAGTCATATCATGCGCACCAGCTCTGAAAGTGCCGTGTGAAGTACTGTTTCAAAGTCATTGCATTTGCTAAGTTATGCGCTTTTTCAGACTCAGAAAAATTCGTGACCATTAAGATTAATTGATTTCATTATCCCGGGGATAATTAGCAATAAATGACGTCAAAATTTAATTAATCTTAATTAGAGTTACTCACTATTCTAACTGGTCTGATTAGAGCAAGCAAGGATTCATCTCTGGTGGTATATCGATCAATTCCCGGGAGAATTCCGGTTATCGAAAGTACCCTAGCTACTCTGATAACATCCACTGGATATCTGAAATGGATGATAATTTGAGGTAATGAAAAAGCTGCGCTGACAAAGCTACAATGCGACAATTACTTCTCGCGCCTCGATCCGGTCAATTTTGGATGATTCTCATTTTAGCTTCATCAATCAAATTCTTTTTCAGCGAAAAGGCGCAGTTCGTCTCAAGTAACCAATCAGCATATAGCATGTAGTTCGGATGATTTCATTGGCTGCGCAATAAAAGTTTCCTCCTTCAATAGAGAACGTCTTTGTTTTGTTAAACTTTTTGGGCATCTCAATCTGATAATCTAATTCAAATTAGAAAACAAATCATCTAGATTTCATGCAGAATAACCTTTGAGTTCATTCTTAGTCAGGGCGCGCCGGCATAACTCTCGCATTTTGAGTAGAAAAGTTAGCGTGTAAGGCTTTGCAGAGGGATGATAGCCAAAGAAATACCCTCGAATCGAGGGAGAGACCTAACAGGAATGTAGTAGAATGTTGCTGATTTTAATCAACTTTTTTATCTCATTTATCATTTTGGTTGGCACAGGTTATCGACTAAGCTCGTGGAGGAAGTGACCAACATCAAGCCATTAACCTCAAAAAGTCTTGATATCTCAGAGTTTCGACTGCTTCTGATCGGCCAGGTTGGATCAGGCAAATCAAGCTTCTTCAACACCATCAACTCGATCTTCCGTGGTTATGTTACCAGTCATGCTATTACTGGTCATAATGCTGCCCACAGTGTGACTACCATGGTGGGTAATTAGGAGTAAAACAAATGTCGAGACCTTTTTCATTCGACCCTATGATCGTAAGAACGATACTCTTAGTTTGAGTTACATACGTATTAAATTTAGGGTGAACATCATTAGTAAAGAACGAAATAAAGAAATAATAGTCAAGAGAATGAGATACGTCCCAAGCAAGAGTCTCTCTCACAAAACCTTCCTTCAAATCTTCATCGATACTTTGAAAGAACATCTGGGCTAATCGAGGCCACGGTCAACTCACTAATCGAATTGCAGTTTACCGCGTTAGGTTTTTCGGAGGGATGAAAACTGGAGAAAACCCTCTAACAAACTCTAGTCACATGTGTTATAGTCGTCGCATTTTCTTTCTTGATTTAACTCGGCACTTTTCTATGCAAATGATCAAAGAACCTTAGAACACTGTATAAAAACATTGTTTTTTTCTCAAACCAGTTCCGCACTTATGACATCACGTCAACACCATATGGAAAACCCTTCAAGTGGAAAATCTGCGATACTGCTGGATTACAGGAAAAGGATGGATTGACTGTAGCGGAGCTTCTCTATCTGGTAGACGGCAACATCCCTAACAGATTCAAGGTAAGTTATTGTAGGATGTGCAACAAGCTGGCTGCCCCGCCGGGGGATGGCTAGCTCCTGTAGTTCGTCTTTAACCCTATCTAAGGGCTCTACATGTGGGATATGGTCTCACTCGACGATCAGTTTAAATATGACTAATTTTATCAGGTATATTCATTATGGACCGTATAAATCAGTTCCTCATATCTGGAGTAGATATGACTCCTCAACTTGAGCGTAATTTTCTTAAACGTCTTGCCAGTATTGATTATTCGAGTTTATAATCTCTGGGCCGATTTTCGCATACTATATATTTATCAAAATTCATTCCGTCTCCAGTTCAATCCTTACGAGCGCATCACTCCTGATAGTCCAGGGTTTATTGAATCACCCAGTTATTCCCAGAGGGCTCACTGCGTTGCCATAGTGATGGATTCCTCTACTGTTGATAACTTGACTGAAGAAATGTGGCAAAAATACCAAATGCTACAGGACGCACTCAATGCTAGACGTAAGTATCACCAATCAGCTGCTGATTCTATGTTATTCTCCACCAATCAGCTATTGATTCAATGGTGTTCTCCACCAATCAGCAGCTGATTCAATGGTGTTCTCCACCAATCAGCAGCTGA